TTGGCTTTAAACCTGGTAGTTTGACCAATCTAGTTGTGTTCTGGAACACAGCACTGTTAGCCTAAACCTTTATCTGCTTTGGTCTGTAACAATTGCTTGCCCAACAGGTCCATGTAGAACCTTGTGATAATCAAGACCAGAGCAAGTATTGTCCATCATGCTGGAATAATTGGATTGTACTTGTGATAGACTTTTTCATTGAAATACAGTTGGTTCTCTGTTGTGACTGATGAACCTTCCTGGCTCTTGCTAAAATGCATTAACTTCCAAGATTGTCCTTGGGTCGTAGCTGTGCAGAATATTGGTGCTTGTCTGAGTGATTTTTGAACGTGTGTTGATGGTCCTCTTGCCTGCTCCTCAAACCCAACGTGTGTGGGATTTCTATTAGCAATGATACTCTTGTGAGAAGAATTTGGGATGTGTGCTGTTAGGAAGTTTTAAACAAATCCAAGACATGACTGCAGGTCGCCTTTGTCTTGGGGAGTGGGCATGTTTCATGCACCTTTTTGACCTTGCCTGGTTCAGGATGGATCCCATGAGCTGAATGGATAGAGGCCTGGAAGTGGCCTACAAGCAGCTGACTGCTCCCTCCAATGAAGGTGTGCTCTTCACATTGGTGTCATTTAAGTGTAGGTTTTGGTTGTGCTCCTTTTTGGGTTTTGCCTATCATCTTCAGCAATACAACTGGCCAAGTAAACTGTAATTCTGACCCAGAATGGCAGTCCTGTCCCAGCTGTGTCTTCAGGGTATGCTGTCATTACATGATGATTGGCTTTTCCTGAGGCCAGGTGCCATTAACTGAACTGTGATAAACTTTATCTTTAATTTTTTTTTTATTATTTATGACATCTGTCATTGTAGGCATGTGGTAGGGCAAATTATAAGACACCTTTTTTTCTATATATATTTTTACGCAAAAGTGCGTGTGATAATAAATTTTTATTCTATTGCTGCTGGAACAGATTGAACATACAAGTGAGAGGAGGCCACTCTGTTCTTCAAGTCTGCCTTGCCATTCAATAAGGTCATGACTGATCTGATTTTAACCTCAACCCTACATTCCTGCATATCCCCCAGATTTTAAATCTTTCATTCCCTTGATCATCAAGAATCTATCTATCTCTGCCTTAAAAATATTTTGGATTCTGCGTGCACTGCTGAAATAAGGGAATTCCAGGCACACTCCCCTCAGAGGGGAGAGCAAAAAGTTTCCTCTTATCTGTCTTAGATGGGTGATCCCTTGTATTTAAACAATGACTCTTGGTTCTAGATTCTCCCACAAGAGGAAACATCATTCCTTTCAACATCCCTCTGGTCAATATCCCTCATGATTTTTGTTTTAATTGAGACACGTCCTGAATCTAAAACTCTAGAGGATACAGGCCCAGCATGTCTAGCCTTTCCTCCTAAGGCAATCCACTCATTCCAGGGTTTAGCCTGGTAAACCTTCTCTGAACTGTTTCCAACACTTTTTAACATTCTTCTGTAAATTCTGTGACCCTGACTGGCAGACTGAATGGTATTCTCTGGAAGCAGTATCTTCCAACTAGTGATTGCTTGTGTGTGTGGTTTTTTCCAAATGAACAGACTGATGTCCAGGTTGGCAAAGACTTTAGCTCCTGTAGATTTAGGACTCCATTCCACTGCCATCAGGACTTTTATGGATATCGTTTTTCTTTTGAAGAAGAATAGAGATGTCTTCGGTCTAAACGTAACCTAATTGTGCCATCTTTCTTTTTAGCTTGTAAGCAATAGGACTGCACCAGTCTTTGTGCTGATGTACACGATTGATTTTGATACCATTTTGCATTCTATGTTGTTCAGCTCACCCTAAGGCACCTCTTGAATAAGGGCACTGCACTTTCTGGGAGGGTCGACTAATGAAATTGCATCTTCTCTGAGGGGCATTACACTATCACTTCTGACACTTTCCATAGAATGGAATTGATCCAGGTAAATTTGTTTTGAGTCCTGGACTGACCCGTTGCAAGTGTTTTTGGCCTTTTCTGTGATTTTTAATATCTCGAGTGGCTGTGACCATTCAAGTAATGTTGAGTTCTGTGCATGCTGGTAATCCTGCTAGTGCTGGTCCATTTGTATCCATCAAGTGAACTACTTGTGATTTCCAGGTAGATCTAGCATAGCAACATTTTCATGAATGTATCAATGCAAGGAGTGGCTATCCCATTAGATATCTCTTGTAATCAACCAGTTCAGAGATGATATTGCACTGCTCTGGAGCAGTAGGACTTGAACCCAGGTCTCCTGGTTCAGAGGCAGGGTAGTTTCCCACTTACAGACCTTTTGGTTTTGCTATTGTAAGTTATAACATTGACTTCTGGTGTATATCCTTTAGAATTCTGGCTGGCTGTTTGGACTGACCCTGTATGGACCTTGGTCTTGAATGAGTGTTTGTTTGCCAATTTTCTTCGATTAATGATTGTGGCAAAAGCTCCCATGATTGGTGGTGCAGTGGTGTGGATGATATTAATGTGGAAAGTCTGCTCACCTTCTGTTGGGAATTTGGTTCAGACAGCTGGTCTAGCTTGTCACAAAGCTTCCCTTGTGCATGTGCTTGCCATCATGCCAATCTCTGAAGCTCCTGGTTGTTGCTGCAAGTGCATTGTTTGTTTGCAGTCTATCGTAACCTCTAGTTGTATCCTTGCTGCAATGAGGTCGGTGACCATTTGCACCATGTGACCTGCAAAGATCTTGGAGTGTTTCATAGAGTGCAACTGATCACACATCTCTCTCACTGTGCTCACTTCCTGAATGCTTACTGCTTATTTTTTTAAAAAAAAATTATTGGGTATGGACATCACTGTATGGGCCAGCACTTATTGCCTAACCCTAATTGTTCAGAGAGCAGATAACTACGTTGCTATGGGTCTAGAGTCCCACGTAGGCCAGACTAGGTAAGGATGGCAGATTTCCTTCCTTTTCAAAAGGCAATACTGAACCAGGTAGGGTTTTTCCAACTGATGATAATGGATGCATTATTCCACATTGTACTAAATTGAAATTTCATCAGATGCCTTGTGGGATTTGAACTAGAGAACATTGGCCTGGGGTTGTGGATTGCTAGGTTGTAACGTTACACTACACCACTTCCACCCTCTGCTGCACTAATATGGAAAGTCATGGTTACAGATGGTTATTGTCCAGCTGGAATAGCTTCTTATTTTCTGCCACTTTTTTTTTGAAAGAAGTGTTGAGGCTGCTTTCTCCAAAAGGTCTTGTTGGGCAGTGAAGTTATATCCAGTGCCGTTATCTGCTCAGGCTCAAATCCTACACCTCGCCCTTGTCATGGCTCCTATCAATAAGCTGATAATTGATACTTGTGGCTGTTGCTTGCTGTATGGACAATAAATTCTAAAATTTGTTACTGGAGTATCAGCTTTGTGTAGTATTTCCAGTATGAACAGGACCTGAGAAAGATCCTAAGTTACAGAAGTGCCGACTCTGTGCAATGCCTTTATTTTCACTGCTTGGTTATCTGGTTCTGCAATCTCTCTCTTTTTAGAAAGCATACCTCTATCCTTAGGTTTTATGAACAGAATTCAGATTGGACAACTGTGGCCTTCAGATCACATTAGGGAATTTGATAATCCTCTTCCTGCTGCTCCCTGTCTGTTATAAACATTTACAAATTGCAGGGAATTTATTGTAGCAAGGCTATAGGGCTACTGCATGTGGAGATTCAGTAATCCTGAAATAAAATAAAGAAATTCAGATCTGGTAAAGAGTCATCAGACTCTATGCTAACTGTTTGTCCATTCCCCAAGAAAATAAACAATTTGAATTACAAGGAGAGACTGAATAACCTGGAACTTTTTTCACTGGAACATAGGAGGATGAGGGTTGACCTTTTTATTGAGGTTTATAAAATCATGAGTATAGATAAAATGAATGGCAGGTGTCTTTAGGCTGGGGGATTTTGTGACTGAGGGCATCTTAAGGTGAGAAGAGAGATTTTAAAAAGACATGGACAGTTTTTTTTTATTTGTTGAGTGGTTTATTTTATTTATTTTGCAAGAGCTGTCAGGAAGTACTAGTCATTTTACCGGTGTAAGAAGTTGCATGAGTACTGTGTAACACAAAAACAAAAATGTCCTCAGCATTAATTAATGCTCAGTTGTTGTCCTGGAGTTGTTGCTCAATTGTTGGATCATAACTTTTTGTTTTCCACTTTACTCTGCCATTATACTGTTTTCCTGTGACTGGAGAGCCATTGTCTTAGGACAGGAATATTATCTGTTCTTCTTCTTCGAGCGCCTCAGAGATTTAGCGAGCTTAGATGAGATCCCAGAGCAGGGGAGTCCAAAACTAGAGGGTATAGGTTAAAGGTGGAGGGGGAAAGATGTAGAAAGTGACCTGAGAGGCAACATTTTCACGCAGAGGGTGGTGCATGTGTGCAATGAGGAGCTGCCAGACAAAGTGGTGGAGGCTGGTACAATTAGAACATTGAAAAGGCATTTGGATGGGTACATGAACAGGAAGGGGTTTAGAGGGAGATGGGCCAAATACTGGCAAATGGGACTAGGTCATATTGGGATGTCTGGTCGGCATGGATGAGTTGGACCAAACAGTCTGTTGCTGTGCTGTACATCTCTGACTTTGTGAAGGGTGTCTTTAAATTGATAGAGTTGTGATGCTTCCTTAATCTGAGTGTACAAAGTCACCATTAATTATTTTCTGCATCGATGCAGATGAGAATTGGCTGTGCCACTTAATTTTTTGTTGAACTGGAGTGATGATGTAAACTATGACTCTCTGACTCGTTTCTGTTGTCCATTCCCCTTCTGGCCCTCCAGGAGCATTGGATTTCCCCTCAGAATGCCACCAATATTAAGCCGATGCATCCAACATCTATCCATGGGGTGGAAGATATGATCCGTCTGGGAGACTTGAACGAAGCCGGAATTCTGCGTAACCTCCTCATCCGATATAGGGAGCGCCTAATATACGTGAGTATGAACCATCATCCTGTAAGTCTTTCGAGAGCAGTGAATGGCTCATGCATTTCTGTTTGAGGAACGAGATGTGCTCATTCGCTGTGAGGATAGTAGCCGTTTGCTCTTGCATTTGCCAAACCAAACGGTTGACGTGTTTGTCCATTGCAGTGGCTGACCATCTTAACAATTAAATTACTCCCTGCCAATCCCATAAACCCATTGCAAAAGTCTAAATCTACTGAAGGTTAGACCCAATGAGTAACTTGATTAGTGTATTAACACATGGTAATGTTGGGTTCAATTCCTACACCAGTCAAGGATATCAGGGAAGGCCCCCGCTTCTCAACACCACACCTTGTGTGAACTGTGTTGACCCTCTGGTTAGACTCACCACCAGTCTTTCGTTCCTCTCTGTGGAAGTGCTGGTGTTGGACTGGGGTGGACAAGGTCAGAAATCACACGACACCAGGTTACAGTCTAACAGGTTTAATTGAAAACACAAGCTTTCGGAGCCTCATTACTTCACCCTGAAGGAGGAGTGAGGCTCAAAGCTTGTTTTCAAATAAACATGGTGTCGTGTGATTTCTGACCCCTCCCTCCCTCGACGGTAATGCTGCCATAGTCCCAGAGGACTAATTCCTTTCACTTTGCTTCCGTGGGACGGCTTGCACAGTAGGACTGTGCTGTCACTTTAATGAGTAGCTCCAATCCCAGCAAAAATGGAATACCACTTCACACCAGCTTTGTGACCTGTTCCCTGATAAATGTACTGAAGTTTAAAATTGAATGCAGGTAGTAGGAGATACTTGGGATGAAAGCACGTTGTGTTGACCCTGATTATATCTGTGGCTTTGAGAAGCCTCCCTCGTCACCTTATGTATTCTGTTAGGTAAACACATCTAGATGGTACAAGTATCACGAGCTGAGTTGGTCTGCCACCCAATGCTGGGACTTCCTTGGGTGTTGAACGACTGGCCTCCACCCTCGAACTGGTTCTACTGGGGCCATGCAACAAGCAGTTTGGTCATGAGGGGGAGCTGTGCGGCCAATGAGATGCTGCTTTTTGGCGCTCTCTACTTGCATATCATAGCTGCAATGTTTAAAAACTAGACAAAGGAGGCATTTTAATTCTTTTGGTTCTCCTCTGCATTTGATCTCTCGTTATTTCCTGTGTTTGTAACAGTAATTACACTGACTACTTTGAGATATCCTGAAGCCATGATAGGCACTATATAAATGTTTAAATACAGAACTTTGCTTCAAAACTGCCTTTTTTTTTTGTACCTGTTTCCCAGCCTTTGCTTTTAATTAACTGCCTACTTTTTCTGCAGACAAACTGTGGAGGGAGGGTAAGTAACAGACATGAGCACTAACTCTAACTTCTGATACTGAAGTTAATGACACACAAAGCCATTCACCTTTCATCTTCAAAGGCTGCACTCTGCATGGCTCAATCGATATTGGGTTTCTCATCTCATTAACAGCACCTTCTTTCTTTAATGTTTTCATCAGTGTATTATATGTCCATTACCATTCTATAAGTGACTTCCTCCTGCTCCTGTGTAACTTAATTCATGCTATCACTGTCCTGTTTCACTGTCGGGCAATATTCGTTGGTGTTGGTTTTTGAAAAGAAACTTGACATGTTGCATTTGTTCCCTTTATTTTATTTTGATGACAATCCATCAAGTGGTCATTTCGGGTTGGAGACGGGCTGGATGTGAATTCTATATGATGTTGTTTACGGATGTGCCTCAGTGTAGCTGGGTCTTGTCAGTTCTTGATTCCAGATGTTGAGAGAGAATCTGGCACTGCTCTGGATGAGGAGGTACCCTACATAGGAACAGGTGTAGGCCTTTGGGCCCTTCAAGCCTGCTCCTCATTCGATATGATCATAGCTACTTAGAGTCCTAGAGCTGTACAGCATGGAAACAAACCCTTTTTGGTCCAACTCGTTCATGCTGACCAGATATCCTAAATAAATTTAGTTCCATTTGCCAGCATTTGGCCCATATCCCTCTAAACCCTTCATATTCATATACCCATGCAGATGCCTTTTAAATGGTGTATTTATACCAGCCGCCTCCATTTTCCTCTGGCAGGTCATTCCATACACACACCACCCTCTGGAAAAAGTTGCCCGTAAGGTCCTCTTTTTTTAAATCACTTCCCCTACGCCCTCCAGTTTTGGCCTCTCCCTCAGCCTGGAGGAAAGACCTTGTCTATTTACCCTAGCCGTGCCTGTCATGATTTCACCCCTAATCCTCTGATGCTCCAGGGAAAATAGCCCCAGCCTATTCAGCCTCTCCCTATAGCTCAAACCCTGAAACCCTGGCATCACTCTTGTAAACCATCTCTGAACCCTTTCAAGTTTTACAACATCTTTCCTACAGCAGCAATTCTTGGCTGTTTGGAAATGACACTTTTCAGTCAATAATAACCTTGGAATGTTCTGCTGAGACTACCAAGAATTTCCTGCTGGAATTCACTGTTAAATGTATGGAGTGGGAACTGTGGTCCCATCAGGATCAGCTCTCTGCACAACTAATGCCAATAGTTTGTTTCAACACAGGTAATTGGGGGATAGCATCCAGTGAGAAAAGTAAGGAAGTGGTATATTTCCGTATGAAGACAAGTCCATGAAGCCATGATTCAAAAACAAACCAAGCTCTAGGCGACTGTCTGTGTGGGTTTCCTCCCACAGTCCAAAGATGTGCAGGCTAGGTGGATTGGCCATGCTAAATTTCCCGTAGTGTTCAAGGATGTGTAGATTTGGGGAATGGGTCTGGGTGGGATGCTCTGAGGGTCGGTGTGGACTTGTTGGGCCAAAGGGCCTGTTTCCACACTGTAGGGATTCTATTCTATTCTACAGTACACCCAAAGTACTGCATCCAATTCCTAGTCACACTATCGGGGCGGGAAAAAGTCTACAGGATCGCTGGAGAAAGTTGTGGAGTAAAGAATGATCAAAATTGATGCTTTTCTTTTGTATTGCCCCCAGGACATGGGTGTCACTGGCTGGGCCAGCATTTTTGCCTGCCCCTTTTGTTTCCTTGACGGTGGTGATGAGCTACTTTCTTGTCCATCTACCGCAGGTAGACCTTGCTCTGCCGAAGCATACAGGGCTATGAGCCAAGTGATGGAAGATACGATTAGACTAGTTACATGGTTGTTTTTGACCAGTGCAGACTCTGGGCCTTTTTCTGGGCTGTGGACCTCCTACAGCAGCACTGCTGGGGAGGGAGTTCCAGGGCTTTGACCCAGTCAAGAACACAAGAATTAGGAGCAGGAGTAGGCCGTCTGGCCCTTCAAGCCTGTTCCGCCATTCAATAAGATCATGGCTGATCCTTTCGTGGACTCAGATCCACTTACCCGCGTTCTCACCGTATCCCTTAATTCCTTTATTGTTCAAAAAAAATCTACCTTTTTTTAAAAACGTTTACTGAAGTAGCGTCAACTACTTCACTGGGCAAGGAATTCCATAGATTAACAACCCTCTGGGTGAAGAAATTCCTTCTCAGTTCAGTCCTAAATCTGCTCCCTCTAATCTTGAGGCTATGCCCTCTTGTCCTAGCTTCACCTGCCAGTGGAAACATCCTCTCTACTTCTATCTTATCTATTCCCTTCATAATTTTATGTTTCTATAAGATCCCCCCTCAATCTTCTGAATTCCAATGAATATAATCCCAATCTACTCAGTCTCTCCTCATAAGCCAACCCCCTCAACTCCAGAATCAACCTAGTGAACCTCCTTTGCACTCCCTCCAGTGCCAATACATCCTTTCTCAAGTAAGGAGACCAAAACTGCGCACAGTACTCCAGGTGTGGCCTCACCAGCACCTTGCACAGCTGCAACATAACCTCCTGTGCTTTTTATTTCAATCCCTTTAGCAATGAAGGACAAAATTCCATTTGCCTTCCTAATTACTTGTTGTACCTGCAGACCTACCTTCTGTGATTCATGCACAAGGACACCCAGGTCCCTCTGCATAGCAGCATGCTGCAACTTTTTACCATTCAAGTAATAATCCTTTTTACTATTACTTCTACTTCTACCAAAATGTATGACTTCACATTTATTTACATTGTATTCCATCTGCCAGATGTTTGCCCACTCAATGTATCTATGTTCCTCTGCAAAGTTTCACATTCCTCTGCACACTTTGCTTTGCCACTCATCTTAGTGTTATCTGCAAACTTTGACACCGTACACGTGGTCCCCAACTCCAAGTCATCTATATAAATTGTAAATAATTGCGGTCCCAACACCGATCCCTGAGGCACACCACTAGTCACTGACTGCCAGCTGGAATAGCACTCATTTATCCCCACTCTTTGCTTCCTGTTAGTCAACCAATCCTCTATCCATGCTAATACTTTACCCTTAATGCCATGCATCCTTATCTTATGCAGTAGCCTCTTGTGCGGCACCTTGTCGAAGGCCTTTTGGAAGTCTAAGTACACCACATCCACTGGGTCCCCATTGTCCACCTCGCTCGTAATGTCTTCATAGAATTCCAAAAGATTTGTCAAACATGACCTGCCCTTCATGAACCCATGCTGCGTCTGCCCAACGGGACAATTTCTATCAAGATGCCTTGTTATTTCTTCCTTGATAATAGACTCCAGCATCTTCCCCACTACAGAGGTTAAGCTAACTGGTCTATAATTCCCCATCTTTTGTCTACTTCCCTTTTTAAACAGTGGCGTCACATTTGCTGTTTTCCAATCTGCTGGGACTGCCCCAGAGTCCAGCGAATTTTGGAAAATTACCGCCAGTGCACCTGCTATTTCTCCCGCCATCTCCTTTAGTACCCTGAGATGCATTCCATCAGGGCCAGGAGACTTATCAATCCTTAGCTCCATTAGCTTGCCCAACACTACCTCTTCCGTAATTGATTGTTTCCACATCCTCACCTACCTTCGTCTCTTTGTCTATTACTGGCATGTTATTAGTGTCCTCCACTGTGAAGACCGATACAAAATACCTGTTCAATGCCTCGGCCATTTCATCACTTCCCATAACTAAATTCCCCTTCTCATGCTCTAAAGGGCCAACGTTTACTTTAGCCACTCTTTTTTTTTTCGTTTTATATATTTATAGAAACTTTTCCTATCTGTCTTTATATTCTGTGCTAGTTTTTTCTCATGTTCTATCTTTTCTTTATAGCTCTTTTTGTGGCTTTCTGTTGACCTTTTAAAGTTTTCCCATCTTCTAGTTTCATGCTGTTTTTGGCCACTTTATGTCTTCTCTTTCAATTTGATAGCCTCCCTTATTTCTTTAGACACCCATGGCAGATTACCCCTTTTCTTACAGTCCTTCCTTTTCATTGGAATATACTTTTGCTGAGCACTTTGAAAGATTGCTTTGAAAGTCCTCCACTGCTCGTCAACTGTCCCACCATAAAATCTTTGTATCCAGTTTACTTTAGCCAAGTCCTCCCTCATTCTATTGTAGTTGCCCTTGTTCAAGCACAGGACCCTTGCATTGGATTTTATCTTCACACTCTCCATCTGTATTCTAAATTCAACCATACTGTGATCACTCCTTCCAAGAGGATCCCTAACTATGAGGTCATTAATTATTCCTGTCTCATTACACAGGACCAGATCTAGGATAGCTTGCTCCCACGTTGGTTCCGTTACATACTGTTCAAGAAAACTGTCACAGATACACTCAACGAACTCCTCCTCAAGGCTACCCTGACCGAGCTGGTTTGACCAATCTACATGTAGGTTAAAATCCCCCATAATTGCCGTACCATTTTTACAGGCATTTGTTATTTCTTTATTGCCTGCCCCAATGTGATGTTATTATTTGGTGGCCTATAGACTACGCCTATCAGTGACTTTTTCCTCTTAGAATTTCTAATTTCCACCCAAATTCTCCATAGAACCTATATCATCTCTCAGCACCGCCCTGATGGCGTCCTTCAATATCAGAGCTACACCACCTCGCTTAGCTTCCTGTCTGTCCTTCCGAATAGTCTGGTACCCTTGGATATTTAACTCCCAGTCGTGACCATCCTGTAACCATGTCTCCGTAATGGCTACCAAATCATATTCATTCGCGATGATTTGTGCCGTTAACTCATCAACCTTGTTACGAATGCTACGAGCATTCAGGTAAAGTGCCTTTATGCTAGCTTTCTTACCCTCATGATTTCCAACATCTCTAATAATATCTCGATTTATCCTTCCTTTTTGCTTCTTTCATAGTCTGCCTTGAACTTGAACTTAAACCCTCCTGCACACATGCTAACCTGCTGCTTACCTTTTTATTTACCATCATACTCCCTGTCGTTTTCCCTTTCCTTTCCCTCCCCCCCTCATTAGTTTAAAGTCCTTGTGACCACCCTATTTATCCTTTTCGCAAGAACACTGGTTCCAGATCGGTTCAGGTGGAGACCGTCCCATTGGTACAGATCCCTCCGGTTCCAAAACTGATGCCAATGCCCCATGAAATGGAACCCCTCTTTCCCACACCACTCCCTTAGCCACGTGTTTACTTCCCTAATTTTCTTATCCCCAAGCCAATTTGCACGTGACTCGGGCAGTAATCTGGAGATTATGACCCTCGAGGACCTGTTCCTTAATTTTGTTCCAAGTGCTTGATAATCCCCAAACAGGTCCCCCATCCTAGCCTTGCCTATGTTGTTAGTCCCAACGTGGACCACAACAACTGGATCCTCCCCCTCCCGCTCCAATATCCTTTCAAGCCGGTCAGAGATGTCCTGCACCCTGGCACCAGGCAGGCAACACACCATGCGGGACTCCCGATCTGGCTTGCAAAGGATACTATCTATCCCCCTAACGATAGAATCCCCTATAACTACCACTTGTCTATTTGCTCCCCCTTCTTGAATGGCCTTCTGCACCATGGTGCCGCGGTGAGCTGGCTCATCCTCCCTGCAGCCCTTTTCCTCATCCACACAGGGAGCAAGTATCTCGTACCTGTTGGATAAGGTCAAAAGCTGAGGCTCCTCCACTCCTGAACTCAGGATCCCCTTACCTGCCTCACTTGCAGTCACACCCTGTTGTCCCTGATCACTAACTGAATTTGAATTACTTAATCTACCAGGTGTGACTGCCTCCTGAAACAAAGCGTCCAGGTAATTCTCCCCCTCCTGGATGTGCTGCAGCATTTGAAGCTCAGATTCCAGATCTTCAACTCTGAGCTGGAGTTCTTCCAGCAACCAACATTTGCTGCAGATGTGGTCACTGCCGTTCACAATGGGATCGGCCAGCTCCCACATCATACAGCTACAGCACATCACCTGCCCAGCCATCTCTACTTAGTTAATTACTTTATCTCAATTTGAGTTAAATACTTTCTAATACTTCTCTGCTATGGTCCTTTCAAATAACCAGTTAATATATAAATAAAAACAAAAAGTAAATTTTCAACCAATTACACAATACAGAAGAAATAGAAAAAGTATAAAAACCTTACCTTACCAACACACCACAGCGTGCTTTTTTTTTTTGGTGATACCTGTCTAGTGAAGAGGACACACAGGCTGGGTCACTTCGTTTTGAAAAGCAGAAAGCCGAGGGCTGACCACGGCATTAATGAAAAGTCTTGAGAGTGGTGACCGATTGCTTCTGGTCTTGGGAGTGAGCAAAACTGGAGACCCCCCCCCCCCCACCGAGAGATCAAGCAGGGAACTTTGACATCTTCACCCAGAGCTTGGTGAGACTTGTTACCAGCAGCTCCGACAGGTGCAGATGTGTTTAAGGACAGGCTAGATTTCACCTCTCAATTCCCCTTGTAGGGCTAACTTTTTTTTTAAAAGGCCGTTCCACCCAATTCCACTAAAATCTGCTATTGCCAACTTAACTGGGGAAAGCGAAATGTACTGGGTGCAGGGGAATTCTCCGCAGGAGCAGCGAGTGTGGCAGGGAGTATGGCAAGTTACCGTGCTTCAGTGTCATGGGGTTAATACCTGCCCCTCTGTCAGTCAGCTAGAAATGCAGAATTGAGCAGTGGCTTTCTCGGTGTTTCTGTGCCACAAACAATGAATTAGAATTTTTGGTTAGAGACGAAAAAAAAACCTGCAGATGCTGGAATCCAAGGTAGATGAACAGGAGGCTGGAAGAACACAGCAAGCCAGGGGGCACCTGGGGGAAAGGAGCAGTCCATGTTTCATTGACTTCTCCTTTCTTTCAGATGCTCCCCGGCTTGCTGTGTTCTTTCAGCCTCCAATGAATTAGAATTTGTTTGGCTTTCTTTTCTGGCCGTAGCTGTACATATTGGCAGACTTGCTCACACTTTACAATGATGCTTCTGCTTTCAGACATACACCGGCTCAATCCTGGTTGCGGTGAATCCCTACCAGCTGCTGCCTATCTACACTGCTGAACAAATCCGGTATTACACCAACCGAAAGATCGGTGAAATGCCACCTCACATCTTTGCCATTGCTGACAACTGCTACTTCAACATGCAACGGAATAACAAGGACCAGTGCTGCATCATCAGGTGAGTAAAGGCCACGCCATGGTCACTTCTTACCGCCTCCCGTTCTAACGATCGCCAGTTACTGGGAATCGGAAATTAAACCGGAAAATGTCAGAAATCCCAGTTGCATTTGGCAGCAGCTGTGGAGAGGATATGGCAGGGATGTTCCAGTCAGTGACGATGCAGAGACCACTGCCCCCACCCCCACCCCTAGCAGTGAGGATCCTTGTGTGTGTTTGTTTGTGCTATTGTGCATTCTTCTGTCTGGAGCATGCAATCCTGCCTGCATCATCAGTGCTTCATCTCTGCCATCGAGCAGCAAAGAGGAGCAGTGTACAGAACCCTCTATCTTTTTTTCTCCTCTTCTGGTGACATGAGCTGCCATATTGAGAGCGCTTTATTTTTAAAGGTTTACAGGGAAACGTAGAAAAATGGGAACAGGAGTCGGCCATTCAGCCCTACAAACCTGCTCGGTCATCCATTATGGACATGGCTGACCATCCAACTCAGTCTCCTGTTCCCACTGTCTCCCCATTTCCTCTGATCTCTTTAGCCCCAAGTGCTCTGTCCAATTCCTTATTGAAATCGTACAATGTTTTGGCCTCAAATGCTTTCTGTGGTAGTGAATTCCAGGGTTAGGTTTCCAGATTTTGAAGGTTTCCAGTGGATGGGTGTGGACAGTGGGCAGTTTCGAGTTAGACTGTCAACTACCAGTGCTACAGCACAGTTTAACCATGGTAGCAACTGCAATTAGTAAGTGGAATGTATCCATTTATGTTGGTGTGGGAGATGTTTGTCATGTCCAGGGCAGTGCAAATCAACCCATCACAAGTTTAAAACTCCTCCTGGGACAATTGCAGCCCCTGGACTCACATCAGGACTTCCTCAGAGTCCCAACTTCCAGCAGCAACTAGCATTTAGTGCATTGTCCCCTTCCCAGTGCAGCAAGACCTGGCCCCTTTGTTCCAGGTTCTGATGGAGGGTCATGACCTGAAATGTTAACCCCATGTATCTCACTCCACATATGCATCCTGCTATTGCTGAGTATTTCAAATTACTGTCCTTCTGATCATGTGTCTTTACCCTTTTGAAGAAACGACCTTGGTAACAGCCAAGCGAATGCAAAGAAGATTCTGATCCTTCTGTTACACCTCATTCTGGAAACATGCTGGAAGTGCAAGCCCCGCTATCCTAGCAATCACGAAAGTTTAAAGATTTTATCAAAGGTCACAAAATCCCCAATGTTTGTCTGATTAGACTTGACAGACAGCACAGACCAGGTTTCAATACTTAATGGCAACGATATTTTATTATAAAAGAAATAGTTACTTATGGGTAGTCAGATTCTATGAACTGTTAACCATAAAACCCTACTACTTAAAACTCTAACCCCCTCCTAAACCGCTTCCCCTTAGGCGCACACAGGCACGAAAACATGAGTGCGAGTGATTATAGGGGGAGGGGAAAATATCTTGGAGCAGCATTTCAAAAGCTTTGGTCCTCTAGGATTCGATGGAGTGGTCCCTTCAGTCTCCCAAATCCTTCAGTCCAGGAGGCAGAGTGTCACAAATCATCAATTCTCTGACTTATTAGTTAAACTGCAGGAACTAGTTGCAGAAAATAAACCAGCTTTCTTTTAGCTTTGTATACTCTCACTGGACAGCATGAAAGACATACACCACCTCCCCTTCCCAAAGCTTCTCATTATATCATTCACACCCACAAGCTGTCCAGCTAGGATAATTCTCTGGCCCCTGTGATGGGCAGATGGCCTTTAGCCTGTGGCATTGTGACCAGTTGTGGGAGCCTAAATAACCTGTTAAACGAATAATCTTTCTTTGTACATAGACTACCAGCCTAACACCTGGGAGCCAGCTCGTCTCATCTTGCATCGCAACTTGCCTTTCCACCTGTTTTTGTGTCCTCTGAAAATCTGGCTGCAATACATTGCCTGCCTGCCTGCCTTCCTTCCTCCCTCCAAATCATTAGCATGATACCATTCCACTGTATTTGCCAGCCCACCCCTGCCCCCCAACTGCTTGCACATGATTGTGTTTCAGTAAATTTTGTTTTGTAAAAGTATAGTGGTTCCTTCCTCATTCCTTTTTTTTTGGTTGTTTTTTTTTTTAAAAAAAGTCCTTTTCCCAGCTCAGTCCACAAACTAAAGCAAAGTAAAATAAACCAATATGATCTTTAGTGTGTAAAAACTCTCGACTCCGAAGTCAGTTAGCCTTTGTGAAGAAGTAAGATTTGAAGTGGTATTGTTTGGATTTATTTCAGCCGGAACACCTAAAGGAGTAAGGCACACATCAATCTTTTGATTTGTCCACAAGGCATGTTTTGCCTGTGAACGGCAGGGTTGAGTGCTAGATAATGAAGGCTTTTGTATCAGGAGCTCTAGAGACTGGTGTTTAAAAGTAAACCTTTCGCTAAGTGTCCTGAAGAAGTGCTTTATTGCAGTGGTTTGGTTGTGGAGTATTTGATCCTTGATATTCTGCAGTAAGAATACAGTGGAATAACATCCATACCAAAACTAAAATTGGGTATAGTCTTTGCATAAAGAGTAACTGAAATTCCACCGACCCCAACTTCACAGTTGGGATGGGGTATTGCTTCACTGCCGTTTTGGATTCGAGCAGGTTCCCTACCAGGTTAATATTGGACCGTCTGTGGTTTTTAAAGAGGGATGTTCCTTGAATGATTTGCCTCACCTGTAAAGCCATTAAAAATAGGAACAGACTTAGACCATTTGGCCCCTTGGACATTCTCTGCCCTTTGATAGGATCGTGGCTGATCCGACATTCCTCGCATCCACTTTCCTGCCCTTTTCCTGTAACCCTTGATTTCCCTGACTGATCAAGAATCTATCTATCTCGGCCTTAACTATACACAAGGACTCTTTCCACACAGAGCTGTTGGGACAGGAGCTCCAAAGAGAGAGAAACCTCTGAGAAGAAATTCTTCCTTAACTCGGGTCTTAAATTGGTGCCCCTTTATTCTGAGACTGTCCTCTGGCCCTAGATTCTCTGAGGGGAAACATCTCCACATTTATCTGTTAAGCCCCTTTTTTAATCCTGTATGTTTCAATGAGACTATCTCTCATTCTTCTAAACTCCTCCAGTCAGTAGAGTCACACCTTTTTTTTTTTAAACCTTTGGCCAGAAGATAATCCCTCCATACCGGGGATCATCCTTTTTGACCTCTTCTGAACTGCCTCCAACAAAATAATATCTTCCTTTTTAAATAAGGGGACCTAAACTGCTCACAGTGCTCCAATGTGGTCTCCCCAGCACCTTGTACAGTTACAGTAAGACTTCCCTACTCTTATACTCTGACCCCCTTGAAATAAGGGCCAACATTCCATTACCCTTCCTGATTACCTGCTGCCCCTGTGCGCTGGCTTTGTGTTTTGTGCACAAGTCTCCCTGAGTCCCTTTGTGTCGCAGTTTTCTACTGCTATTCTCAGTGTTTAAAAAAAACTGTTCTCTTGTTCTCCCTTCCAAAATGAACACCTTTACATTTTCCCACGTTTTAATCTACTTGCCTACTTAACAATCAATATCTCTCTGCAAAATGCTTGTATCCCTCTCGCAACTTGCCTTACCATCTAATTTTTTTTTGTCATCTGCAAATCCTGGCTACAATACATTTGTTTCCTTTCTCCAAGTCACTAGCATGATGCCATTCCACTGTATTCATCTATTAACATGGACAGTCCCAGCATTGATCCCTGTGGCACTTGTAAGATGCCAGCAATATAATTAAAATGACTGATTTGACTGGCATTAAAGGTTTTTATAAGATTGTGTGTCCTTTTCTAAAACAAACAGGAGGAGCAGGATTTTTGAATTTGTGAATGCTGCTTCTCCTGTACTAAGGGTTCAAATGGAACTCCAGTGACCAATATCGCTAGTGACACAAGTCTGGAAGCCCTTTAATAACATTAACTCCCTCTGGGTTATCTATGACCTAAGTGACCATGTGGTGGCTCTCAAATGGGTTGGAATTCTGACAGGACAACAAGCAGGAGACTTTTCAGATTTTCCATCCTGTCCCTACCTGTCCAGGGTCTTTTGTTCAATTTGTATCCATCTTTGCTTATCTGGGGGTCATGTTCCAATCCAATACCTCTCGCACATTCAGTTGTTACTGAAAGTGGGCAACATTAACATTGTACAAAAGGTATGGGTGTGCTCTGATAAGGTTTCACTCTATCAATGCTTTTGTACTGACATTGTAATGGGATATAAATGGTGTTATTTGGCTAAAGGGTAAGCGTTAGAATGCAAATCTAATCTGTGTTGTGTTTTCTCTTGTTTTTTTTTTTTGTCTTTTTAGTGGTGAGTCTGGGGCTGGGAAAACAGAGAGCACAAAACTGATCCTGCAGTTCCTGGCAGCTATTAGTGGCCAGCACTCTTGGATAGAGCAGCAAGTGCTTGAAGCAAATCCCATTCTGGAAGGTGAGCTGGACAAAGAGTTGAGGTCCTGAGCATGCAGTATCCAGCAGAGAATGTGGCTAGATGCATGGCGAGTGACTTTTTACACAATGCTTATGCATACTATAAAAGTAGCAATCTCTCACCAATTAAATGTATATTCACTGATTTATTTTTAATATGTCTTGCTTTACTGTGGTATTATCATTTTATTATCATTTTATTATCATTTTATTATCATTTTATTATCATTTTATTATCATTTTATTATCATTTTATTATCATTTTATTATCATCATTATCTTGTGGGCATCACTAGCTGGTCCAGCATTTATGGCCTGTCTCTAGTTGCCCTTGGTTACGGTGAGCTGTCGCCATGAACCCCTGCAGTCGGTTGCCCCACAATGCCCTTAGGGAGGGAATTCCAGAATTTTTGACCCAGTGATGCTGAAGGAACAGCAATACGTTTCCAAGTCTGGACGGTGAGTGGTTTGGAGGGGAGCTTGGAGTGGGTGGTGTTTCCATGTCTCTGCTGCCCTTGTCCTTCTAGATGGACTTCTAGGTGCTGTCTGAGGGTGGATTTTGGCAGTGCATCTTGTGGCTAGTACTCACCGCTGTGATTGAGCGTCAGTGATGGAGAGAGTAGATGCTCTATTGCCTTTCAGCACATTAAAGGACCTAATGAGGTACAAAGGGGAGGTCACTGTACACTTGGATTAAAAGCGCAAGAGAAAAGAGATGGAGGGGTTCAGGAAGCGAATCCCAAAACTTCCAGACAGCTGAAGGCGTGGCCACCATTGGTCGAGCAAGTGTGGTGAGGAGGGGTTGGGGTTGCAGGTTTGGTGGGGAAAAGGACAGAATTGAAGGAGCATGGAGGATTACGAGGCTGGGAGAGGCTATGCAAGTGCAGAGGACAAGACAAAGTTATAGAGGGATTTTCATTTTGGGATCAAGCTAAGGGAACAGTGCTTATCTGAAGTTGAATTTGCTGCATCTGAGGCTGAACACAACACAAATAATTAAGTCAAGGTGCAATGGAACTTCATTAGAATACGAGAGAAAGGAACGGAACAGGGTTGTTCATGGTACTGCACAGTTGTACAACGAACAGCTGCCTGTCTCTGTCTCTGTGTGTGTCTCTGTCTCTGTGTGTGTCTCTGTCT